CGCCCGCCCCCGCCACGGGCCCCGCGCTCCCGACGCCATCTTCCCGCCGCGCCCGACGCACCGCGCGCGCGGCCACGCCCACCGCGGCACGGCCACGCCCACCACGGCACGGGGACACGCCCACCGTGGCACGGGGACACGCCTACATCCCTCGGTGGGCGTGGTCTCTCCGTGAAAGCCCGAGCGTTCATTGGCTAGGCCGTGAGTGGGGCGGGGCCGGGGCGCGTGGGAGCCGGGACCCGGGATCAGGGACAGGCGGTACCGGGACACCCCGGCACCGGGTACCCTGCACCAGCACCCCCGGAGCGGGGCATCCCCAGAAACCGGGAAGCCCTCCGAACCGGGCAGCGGTAACCGGGTACCGAGCTGCCGGGACTCCCGGCACCGACAGCCCCAGCACGGGCACCACTCGGAACCGGGCACCGCGCTGCCCAGCCACCCCTGTACTGGCACCCCCGTGACTGGGCACCCCGGTACCGGGTAACCCTGCACCGGATAACCGGATACCTCAGTAACCCTGCACCGGATAACACCTGCACGCTGCACTCCCCGGAACTGAGCGCCTCGGAACCGGGCACCCCGGTACCGGGACCCCCAGAACCCCTCTGCCGGGCACCCCAGAAACGCGCCCTCCCTGGCCCTGGGCACCTTGTGCCAGATAACCTTGTACCGGGCACCTCTGTGCCAGGCAGCCCGTGCCAGGTGCCGGGAGCCGCCGCCTCTGCCCCGGGCGCTGCCTGGCACCGGCTGTTGTTCCCGGAGCTCACCCGGGCCCCGCACACGTGGCCGCGGCTCCGTGCCCCGGCGTGCCCGGCGGAGCTGGCACGGCGACTGCTCCGCCTAGGTGTCCCCGGGGCCAGCGGTGCCCTGGGGACCCCTCGTTGCTGGGACACGCCCGGTGTCGCAGGAGCCGCGGGTCCCCTGGATGAGCCGCGCCCGGCACCGGGGCCGGCGGCAGCGCCCGGCAGGTGCTCAGGTGTGCAGGACCCCCGGTTACCGGGACGCACGGGATCCCCGCTGAGAAGGACCCCACCGGGACCCCCGGCTCCGTCCTGTCCCGCCGCTGAGCCGGGCTCCATCCCGGCAGCACCGCTGAGCCATGGCCGCAGCCCGGACTGGCACCGGCACCGGCACCGGACACGGCACGGGGTGAGCGGGGCACGGCCGCCTCCTGCGGGCGTGGGGGAGGGGCGCCGCAGGGACCCCCTGAGTCCCACCCGTGCTGGGGGGCGGCTGAGCCTCGGAGCCACCGGCAGCCGGGCTGAGCGGGGACAGAGGGACCCCAAATGGGGACAGAGGGGCCCCCGGTCCCCCTGTGCTCCCTGCCGGACTGCCACTCCACAGAACTGGACCCCAAATGGGGACAGAGTGACCCCAGGTCCCTCTGTGTCCCCAGCCGCACTGCCACCCCCCGGAACTGGACCCTGGACCCCAAATGGGGACAGAGTGAACCCCGGTCCCTCTACACCCTCAGATGCACTGCCACCCCCCAGAACTGGACCCCAAATGGGGACAGAGTGACCCCCGGTCCCTCTGTGCCTCTAGCCGCACTGCCACCCCCCGGAACTGGACCCTGGACCCTGCCGGGGACTGGCACTACCGATGGATCAGCCTCATGGTGCTGCCCATCCTTTACAACTGGGTCGTCCTCATCCTCAGGTGCCAGGCAGTGCGGTTGGGGTTGGGGTGGGGGTGTCCCGGCCCCGTCCCAGCCATGCCCCACTCGTACCCCAGGTGCTGCTTCCCCGAGGTGCAGGAGGCACACGCGGGGCTGTGGCAGGCCCTGGACGGGCTCAGCGATGCGCTGTACCTGCTGGACATGGCCGTGCACCTCCACACAGGTACGGACACGCAGACAGACACACGGACACACGGGTACACACAGACACACACACAGGTACAGGTGTGTACGCAGACACGCAGGTACACACACAGACACAGGCGTGTAACCTCACAGACACACAGGTGTGTACACTCACACACAGACGCACAGGTACAGGTGTGTACACACACACATACACACACACGTGCAGGTGTGTACATACACACGTGTGCAGTCCCACCTGGTACAGCCACCACCAACCCCACACAGAGGGTGTCTGGGCGGGTGGTCTCGAGTCTCTCACCCACCCTCACCCTCCAGCCCCATGGCAGCCCAGGGAGCCACCAGCGACCTCCCGAGGGTGCCCACCCAGGGTTCCTGTGCCTCCCTGTGCCCCGGGCTGGGCACTGCGTGGTCCCCTCTGCCATCACGGGAGCAGCCCCTGTCCTGCAGGGCTGGGTGCCCGGGGTGCCACGGCTGCCCTGGCTGCCCACCAGGGTTCCTGGAGGACGGGATCCTGGTGCGGGACGCCAGGCGGACGCGGCGGCGCTATCTGGGCTCCTGGAGCTTCCCCTGGGACGTGGCGGCCGTGCTGCCCACCGAGCTGCTGTGCCTGCTCCCGGGGGTGCCGAGGGTGCCGGGGGTGCCGGCGGCCCGTGCCAACCGCTGCCTGCGGGTGCCGCGGCTCTTCGAGGCCTTCGACCGGTGCGAGACGCGCACGGGATGGCCCAACGCCTTCCGCATGGCCAAGCTGATGCTGTACCTGCTGCTGGGCATCCACTGGCACGCCTGCCTCTACTTCGCGCTGTCGGCACACCTGGGGCTGGGCGCCGACCCCTGGGTGTGCCCCAGCTCCCCGCGGCCGCTGCGCCGCTACTTGCACAGTTTCTACATCTCCACGCTGGTGCTGGCCATGGTGGGCGACACACCGCCGGCGCGGCGCGAGGAGGAGCTCCTCTTCCTCATCGCCGGCTTCCTCCTGGCCGTGCTGGGCTTCGCCACCGTCACCGGCAGCATCAGCGCCGTCATCGTCAACCTGAGCTCGGCGGGCAGCGCGCTGTACCCCGCGGCGGGCCCGGTGCGGCGGTACCTGCGGGCGCGGGGCGCGGGCGGGCGGCTGGCGGCGCGGGTGGCGCGCTGGCACCAGCACCTGCGGGCGCAGCGCGAGCCGCCGGCCGAGTGGCGGGCGCTGCGGCACCTGCCGCGGGGGCTGCGCGCCGAGGTGGCGGCCGGCGTGCACCTGGCGGCCCTGCGGCGGGTGGGGCTGTTCCGCGGCTGGGAGCGCGGCGTGCTGCGGCAGCTGGTGCTGCGCCTGCGGCCGCAGGTCTTCGGGCCCGGCGAGTTCGTGTGCCGGCGCGGGGACGTGGGCCGGGAGATGTACTTCATCCGCGAGGGCCGCCTGGCCGTGCTGGCCGCCGACGGCGTCACGCGGCTGGCCGTGCTGGGCGCGGGGCTCTACTTCGGCGAGATCAGCCTCATCGACATCAAGGGTGAGCCCCGCGCCGCGCCCCGGCGCCCCGCCCGGCGCGCTGCCCTCGGCTCACGGCCCCCGCCCCGCAGGCAACGTGGCCGGGAACCGGCGCACGGCCAGCGTCCTGAGCGTCGGCTACTCGGACCTCTTCTGCCTGGGCAAGGAGGACCTGGCGGAGGTGCTGGCCGAGTTCCCCAGCGCCCGCGCCGCCATGGAGGCCAAGGGCCGGGAGCTGCTGCTCCGCACGGGCCAGCTGGACACCGGGGCCGAGGCGGCGGCGCTGGCGGCCGAGGCCGAGGCGGAGCGGCGGCTGCGGGGGCTGGAGGCGGCCCTGGAGGGGCTCCAGACGCGGGCGGCGCGGCTGCTGGCACAGCTGGAGGCCGGTGCCCTGCGCATGGCCCTGCGCGTCCGGCGCCTCGAGGGGCGGCTGCAGCTGCGGGATGGAGCGGGGCGGGACAGGGCGGGGAGGGACAGGGCAGTGCGGGATGGAGCCGTGCGGGACAGGGCGGGGAGGGACAGGGCAGTGCGGGATGGAGCCGTGCGGGACAGGGCGGGGAGGGACAGGGCGGGGAGGGACGGAGCGGGGAGGGACAGGGCAGTGCGGGATGGAGCCGTGCGGGACAGGGCAGTGCGGGATGGAGCCGTGCGGGCAGATGGGGCACTGCGGGCAGACGGGACAGCAGGAACGGCCTCACCGCAGCAGCCTGCCGGCCCACAGGGTCCTACCGGGGGACAGGGCCCCACCAGAGTGCAGGGTTCAACCGAGGCACGGGCTGTCCTCAGGGCACACGGTCCCCCCAGGGCACAGGGTCCCTCCGAGGTGCAGGGTGCCCCCAGGGCACAGGAGCCAGGCTCCGCAGGAGGACAGGGTCGCACTGGGATGCAGGGCCCCTCCAAGGCACAGGGCCCCTCCAAGGCACAGGGTCCCCACAGGGCACAGGGTCCCAGTGACGTGCCAGGCGCTCCCAAAGCACACGGTACCCCCACGGTGCAGGGGCCCCTCAGGGCACGGGGTCGCATTGGGGCACGAGGTCCCCGTGGCATGTATGGCCCTGGGGGGGCACAGGCTCCCCTCAGGGCACAGGGGCTGCCCAGGGCACGGAGGCAGATCGGGACACGAGGCCCCGGTGCCATGTACGGTCCCGGCAGGGCACAGAGATCCGCAGGGGCACAGGATGTCCCCGGGGCTCAGGGGGTCCCACGAGGGGCGGGGGTGCCGCGGGACTGAGGGGTGACCGGAGGGGGACGCAGCAGCGACCGCTGGTGTGGGTGACACCGGCAGCTGCTGCTGCAGGACCGGGACCGGGAGAGGAAGGAGCCGGGATGGGGACGGGGCCGGGTCAGGGTCACGGAGTCTCGGGGCCGTGAGCAGCTCGGGATCCCCGGCCCCGCCGCCCGTCCCGGGGCAGCCGGGGGGAGCGGTGACCGACCCGCCGTGGCGGCCGCCGCCCGGTGCCTCGGGAGCGCTCCCTGCGAGCCGCCCGGGACTGGGCTGCAGCCCGGTAGCCCCCGAGCCCCGCTCCCGGCGCTCTCCACGGCCCCGCCCGTCCCCCCCGCCCCGGGCTCCCCCCGATCCCGCCTCCCCCGCGCCCCCGGCACCCCCCGGGCTCCCCCCGCCGCCGCCGCCGCCCCCCGCCCCCGGCCCGCCCCGCGCCGGGCGCCGCCCCCGCTTATCCAGCGGCGGCTCGGAGCGGATCGGAGCCTCGTCCCCGCCGGAGCCTCCCGGTGCCCGCTCCTTCCCGGTGCCTCCTGCCGGAGGAGGGGCGGGGGCAGGCGGGGGGGCCCCGCCATGGACCCCCGGCCCCTCAACGAGTCGCTGCAGGAGATGCTCTGCCGCTCCGGGAACGGCACCGGGAACGGACCCGGCACCGGCACCGGCAACGGGACCAACGGCTCGGTCTGCGACCTCCTCCGCAGGGGCCTCCGCGGGCCCCCGGCGCCCAGAGGTGAGAGCGGGGCGGGGGGGAAGGAGCGGGAAGGGACCCCCACCCCCGTTCGCGCCCGGCCCTGCGCCCACCGCCCGCCGGTACCGTCCCGCTCCGTCCCGCCGTGCTGCCCCGGTGCTCACTGCCCTGTGCTCCGGTTCCCCCGGTGCCCGAGCGGAGCCGCCCCGTGCCCGCCGTGCCCCTCCTCAGCGGGCACCCCGCGGGCTCGGTGGCCCCGGCGCTGCCCGCGGCTCCGCTGCGGATCCCGGCGCTGCCGGGGGAGCGCGCCGGGCTGTGCCGGCGGCAGCGGGAGGGCGGAGGGGACTCGGACAGGGACGCCACGGACACGGCAGCGCCCGCCCCGCGCCCCTGCCCCGCTGCCCGGCCGGGACTCCCGCGGACCCTCGGCTGGGACCGCCCCAGCCCACCCCTGCTCGGTGCCACTCCGCGCTCCGGGCAGGACGTGCCCGGTCCCCGCGCCCGGCACCGAGGCGGAGGGTGGGCGGGATGGGGCACCCACCTGCATGGGGGTCCCTCACCCTCGGGGAACTGAGCCGAGGAGGGGGGGGCTCACCCCGAATCCCGCCACACGCGGGGAAACGATGCTCTCATCTGGTGGGTGTGCACCGAGCCCGCGCCGGAGCCCCGGGGTCCCGGTGCCCGGGCCTGCGCTGGGGCGCCTTTGGGGTGTCCTCACAGCGTGTCTGGGCTGCCCTCGGGGTGCCATGGGGGTGTCTCGGTGGTGGCCTGGGAGTGCTTTCACAGTGCCTCTAGGGTGCCACCTGGGTGCCCCTGGGTGCCACCTGGGTGCCAGCGCAGCGCCGTGCCCGCAGATCTGGACGTGGCGGTGCGCGTGGTGCTCTACGTGCTGATCTTCGTGCTGAGCGTCGGGGGCAACGCGCTGGTGGTGGCCGTGCTGGCGCTGAACCGGCGGCTGCGCACGGTCACCAACTGCTTCCTGCTGTCCCTGGCCCTGAGCGACCTGCTGCTGGCGCTGTGCTGCATGCCCTTCACCCTGCTGCCCGGCCTCATGGGCGCCTTCATCTTCGGCGACGTCGTCTGCAAGCTCGTGGCCTACCTCATGGGTAGGGGGGGACACGGGGGGCTTGTCACCTCCCATGGGTGGGGCACAGTGGGGCTTGTCACCTCCCGTGGGTGGGACATGCGGGGTTTGTCCCCTCTCCTGGGTAGGACACAGTGGGGGCTTGTCCCTTCTCCTGGGTGGGACATGCGGGGCTTGTCCCCTCCCATGGGTGGGGCACACCGGGCTTGTCCCCTCTGCTGGGTGGGACACAGTGGGGCTTGTCACCTCTCATGGGTGGGGCACACCGGGTTTGTTCCCTCTCATGGGTGGGACACACCGGGGCTTGTCCCCTGTCATGGGTGGGGTGGGACACAGTGGGGGCTTCTCACCTCTCACGGGTGGGGTGGGGCACACGGGGGGGCCTCATCCCCGCCTCGCCGGTACCGGGGGCGCAGGGAGGGGGCTCGTCCCTCTCCGCGGATCCCTGGGGGTTATGCCCGGCCCCGGGCGCACGGAGCCCGGCACCGGGGGCTCGGCAGGAGCCGGGGGCCCGCAGGGTCACGCCGCGCCCGCCGACACGCCGCGCTGCCCGCAGGGGTCTCGGTGGCCGTGTCCACCTTCAGCCTGGTGGCCATCGCCATCGAGCGCTACAGTGCCATCTGCAACCCGCTGCAGTCCCGCGCCTGGCAGACGCGGTCCCACGCGTGCCGCGTCATCGCGGGCACCTGGGCGCTGGCGGCGCTGCTGATGCTGCCCTACGCCGTGTACAGCAGCACCCGGCCCGCCGCGCCGCGCCCGCCGCCCGCGCAGTGCACGCACCACTGGCCCAGCGAGCGCGTCCGCCAGCTCTGGTGAGTCCGGGCACCGGGGGGCGCGGGCCCGGGGGGACGCCCGCTGACCGGGGCCGCCCGTCCCAGGTACGTGCTGCTGCTCCTCGTGCTCTTCTTCATCCCGGGCGTGGTGATGACGGTGGCGTACGGGCTCATCTCCCGCGAGCTCTACCGGGGCATCCGCTTCGAGCTGGACGTCAAGAGGGACGTGGCAGGTGAGGGGTGGGGCGGGGGTGACACTACGGGTGACGCCTGGCGTGGCTCCTGTGTGGGCAGAGTGCCCACGCCAGCAGCAGAGGCAGGCAGGGCTGAGCCCTCAGCCCTGCTCCCCCAGTGGTGCGCTCCTCAGGGACATCCCCATTTCCCGGGGACCTCCTGGCAGCCTCGGGGTGCAGCGTGTCCCCGTGTCCCCATGGCCATTTCCATGTGCCCTGCTCCTGGAGAATGCTCCTGCGGTGTCAGGGTGCAGGGTGTCCCCATGGTGCAATGGCCATTTCCATGTCCCCATGTCCCCATGGCCATTTCCGTGTCCCCGTGTCCCCTGCTCCCGGAGGACGCCCCCGCGGTGTCGGGGTGCAGCATGTCCCTGCAGTGCCATGCCCATTTCCGTGTCCCCGTGTCTCCACGGCCATTTCCATGTCCCCGTGTCCCCATGGCCATTTCCGTGTCCCCTGCTCCTGGAGGACGCTCCTGCGGTGTCAGGGTGCAGGGTGTCCCCATGGTGCCATGGTCATTTCCATGTCCCCGTGTCCCCATGGCCATTTCCGTGTCCCCTGCTCCCGGAGGACGCCCCCGCGGTGTCGGGGTGCAGCATGTCCCTGCAGGGCTGTGACCAAGCCTCCTCGCTCCACAGCCCAGCGCGGCTCCGGGGCGGACCCCGCACCCAGCTGCGACGAGGGTGACGGCTGCTACCTGCAGCTGTCCCGGCCGGGCGCGGCGCTGGAGCTGCGGGCGCTGGGGGCGCAGCAGGACCGGGCCCGCATCAACAGCTCGGGGGCGCAGCTGGCGGCCAAGCGGCGGGTGATCCGCATGCTGGTGGTCATCGTGGCCATGTTCTTCCTCTGCTGGCTGCCCATCTTCGCCGCCAACACCTGGCGCGCCTTCTCCCCGCGGGCGGCGCAGCGGGCGCTCTCGGGCACGCCCATCGCCTTCATCCACCTGCTCTCATACACCTCGGCCTGCGCCAACCCGCTCATCTACTGCTTCATGAACCGCCGCTTCCGAAAGGCCTTCGGGGCCACCTGCGCGGGCTGGGGCTGCCGCCGCGCCTGCCCCCGCCGCCCGCCCGAGGACGAGCCGCCCGTGGCCAGCGCCTCGCTCTCCAAGTTCAGCTACACCACCGTCAGCAGCCTGGGGCCGCCCTGAGCCGCCCCCCGAGCCGGAACCCCCAAGCCCCCCGACGCCGGTGCCTGGGCCCCCGCGAGCGGGACCCCCACGAGCCCCACTGCCAACCCCTCTCTCGCCAAGCTCAGCTACCCATCCTCAGCAGCCTGGGACCCCCGAGCTAGCCCCCCTTAGGCCCCCGACACCAGTGCCTGCCCCCCCGAGCGGGATACCCCCAGCAGGACCCCCCGAGCATGAACCCTGCCCTGCCGTGCCCCCCGGTGCACCCCCAGCCGCCCACCCGCCCTCCTGGGACACGCTTGCCCGGCATCCCCGGCTCCATCCCGGCGGCCCCGAGCCCCGGCGGGGTGGGAGCGAAGGGCGGCGGGAGGAGCCCCGGGGGCGGGCAGGGGGAGGCCCAGGGAGGGCACCCAGCCCAGCCCAGCCCAGCCCAGCGTCTCCCCGCGCTGCTCCCCGGCTACGGCCGCAATAAACGGACCCCGAGCCCAGCTGCGCCGCTGCTCCCAGCGCTCCTGCCCGCCGGCACGGAGCCTCCGCGGGGCACAACCGGGCGGGACGGGGGGGTCGGGCACCAGGCGAGGCTCGGGGGCTGCGGGCTGGGACCCTCCGCTGCGGGAACTGCTGAGCCCGGCGGCAGCTGGGGATGGGACCCCCGGGCCCGGTGCACCCAGTGCTGCCCCGGAGCGGGGCGGGTGACCGTACACAGGGGAGGGGACCCCAGGGTAGCGAGACCCCGAGGAGCACGGCCAGCCCCAGGACTCCATCTCCCACCGTGCCCCGCGCGCCTTACGTACCCGGCGTCCTCATTTGCATACGGTCCCCGCCCCGGATGGCCACGCCCCCTGACGGCCACGCCCCCGCCGTTTTCAGCCATGGCGCCGGGGGCGGGCCCTGCCCCAACCTATGCGTCCTTGCCACGCCCCCTCAGCCATAAACGGCGTGGCTCGGCCCCGCCCCCTAGCCGGCCCCGCCCCTCCCTCGGCCATGGCGGCCGGGGCTCGGGCCCCGCTGGCCCCGCGGCCAAGGCTGACACCGTGCCCACCGGGGCCCCCGCCGCCACAGCTGACACCGCGCCCAGCGCTGCCACCGCTGGCCCTGGCACTGGCACTGGCCCTGCTGGCGCTGCCGGTGTCGGCGGGGTCGCCGCCCGGCCCCGGGGAGCAGCTGGCGGCGGCGGCGCCGCGCTGGGGCTGGCGGAACGTGTCGTGCCCGGCCTGCCGGGTGCTCTTCGGGGCGCTGGACCTGGCGCTGCAGGTGGGCACGGGGCGTCGGGGAGTGCCGGGACACGGGGGCGCCGGGGAACACCGTGGGGACACCGGGGAACACCGGGGGGACACCGGGCTAGGCACGGGGATAGGTGGGCACCGGGACACCAGGACCGGAAGAGCGGGGGCGACAGGAACGAGGGCAGAGGGACAGGACAGCGGGGACAGGGCGAGACGGGACAGGGACAGAACAGGGAGAGGCCGGGCCAGTCCCTCGTGACGGGCCGGGGCCGGGACAGGCCGGGACAGGTCGGGGCTTGTGACACACACGGGACCGGCTGGGAATGGGGACAGGGACGGGCGGGGACGGCCGAGTGACGGGCTGGGACGGCTGGAAGAGCAGCGGGGACGGGCGGGGACATGCCAGCGGCTCCGCTCGGGGGAACGGGGACGGGCTGGGGCAGGAACAGGAACCGGGACAGGAACAGGAACCGGGCCAGGAACCTGAACCGGGCCAGGAACCTGAACCGTGACAGGAACAGGAACCGGGACAGGAACAGGCTGGGGCGGGGACGGGAACGGAGGCAGCAGGGCACCGGGCTGGGGACCAGAGGGGCTGGGGGACCCTGTGGGTCCCTTCTGGCCTCGGGATATCCAGCTGGGTGGGCCGGGGTGGCCGGGGGGTGTGGGACAGTGACAGAACCAGGGGCCATCCCGCGGAGCTGCTGGGGGCTGCACGGTGATGGCAGCTGGGGTGCCGTGCCCCTCCCGACGGTGCCGTGCCCATCCCAGGGGTGCCGTGTCCATCCTGGCTTTGCAGTGCCTCTCCCGGCAGTGCCGTGCCCCTCCCGGGGGTGCCATGTCTATCCCAGGGTGCGGTGTCCATCCCAGGGGTGCCGTGCCCCTCCCGGGGGTGCCGTGCCCATCCCAGGGGTGCCGTGTCCATCCCGGGGGTGCCGTGCCCATCCAGGGGTGCCATGCCCTGCCCAGGGGTGCCGTGCCCTGCCCAGGGGTGCCGTGTCCATCCCGGGGGTGCCGTGCCCATCCAGGGGTGCCGTGCCCATCCCAGGGGTGCCATGTCCATCCCAGGGGTGCCGTGCCGCTCCCGGGGGTGCCATGCCCATCCCAGGGGTGCCGTGTCCATGCCGGTGTCCTTTCCCCGCAGCTGGAGCCCAACGTGGCCCGCGTGGGGCGCGTGGCGTCGCGGCTGTGCCAGGAGCTGCGGCTGGCGCGGCCGCCCGTGTGCCGCCAGGCCGTGCAGCTCTTCCAGGGCGACGTGGTGGCCGCCTGGGCCCGCTCCGTGCTGCGCCCGCCCGAGGCCTGCGGGCTCCTGCTGGGCCCCCGCTGCGGCCACTGGGACATCCTGGGCGACTGGAACCTGTCGCTGCCCGCCGCGCCCAAACCGCCCGTGCGGCCCCCGGCGCCGCCGCCGCCCGGAGCGCCCACGGCCCGCATCCTGTTCCTCACGGACCTGCACTGGGACCGGCAGTACGTGCCGGGCAGCGCCGCCGCCTGCCCCGACCCGCTGTGCTGCCGCGGGGCGCCCGCCCGGGGCCCGGGGGCCGCGGGCTTCTGGGGCACCTACGGCAAGTGCGACCTTCCCCTGCACACCATCGACGCGCTGCTGGCCCGGCTGCCCAACGGCACCGGCGACGGCACCGGCGGCTTCGCGGCGGCCTACTGGACCGGGGACATCCCGGCGCACGACGTGTGGCAGCAGAGCCGCGGGGACCAGCTGCGGGCGCTGCGCACGGTGACGGCGCTGCTGCGCGCCCGCCTCGGCCCGCTGCGCGTCTTCCCCGCCGTGGGCAACCACGAGGCCACGCCGGTGAACGCCTTCCCGCCGCCCTACGTGCGCGGCAACCGCTCCGCGGCCTGGCTCTACGATGCCATGGCCGAGGCCTGGCAGCCCTGGCTCCCCCCCGCCGCCCTGCGCACCCTGCGGTGGGCACGGGATGGGCATGGGGGACCCCTCTGCCCGGGGACGGGGATGGGCATGGGGACCCCTCTGCCCGGGGATGGGGGGTTTGTGCCTCGGAGGGTGGGAGGGCACGGGCGGGGGTTCTGGGCTACTGGGAGGCTCCAGACACAGGGCAGGGGGGTTCTGGGCTACTGGGGGCATGGGGCTGTGGCGTTTGGGTACCAGGATCAGGGGACACAGCGCAGGGAGGCTCCAGACTGGGGACTCCGGGCTGTCAGGTGTGGTGGGAGCTGCAGTTGCACAGGCTGGGGGCTCGGAGCAGGGACTCTGGGCACCTGGGGGCTCAGGACTAGCAGGACACGGCGTGGTGTCCGTGCCGGGGGGCAGTGGGGGTACCAGGACAGCTGGGGCTGCGTGCAGATGTCTCAGCTTCATGGGGGGAGAGGTGCAGGGAGGGGGTCATGGCTGGCTGGGGTACAGAGAGGGCTGTGGGGTAATGGGGGCTCCAGGCTGGGGGCTGTAGGGGGGTGGGCAGTGCAGGTGGCAGAGCTGGGGGTCCGTGGGATGGCTGCAGGGTCTGTGGCTCAGGGGACTCAGCACTGACCCCCCTTTTCCGCACAGGGCTGGCGGGTTCTACACGGCAGGGGTCTGGCCTGGGCTGCGCGTCGTCTCCCTCAACATGAACTTCTGCTCCCAGGCCAACTTCTGGCTTCTCATCAACGCCACTGACCCCGCAGGGCAGCTCCAGTGGCTCATGGGGGTCCTGGCAGATGCTGAGCGTGATGGGGAGAAGGTGTGGGGGGGTTCTGGGGGGACATGGGGGGTCTCGGTGGGCCCTGGGCAAACCCCCAGCCCTGGCTCCCTGCCCACAGGTGCACATCATTGGGCACATCCCCCCAGCCCACTGTCTGCGCAGCTGGAGCTGGAACTACTACCGCATCGTCAGCAGGTCGGTGCCTGACCCCTGCCCAGACCCCTGACCCTGTGCCAGACCCCCATTCCATGCCCTGGCCTCCATCCCCACGTGCTGGACCCCTGTCCATGTGCCCTTGACCCCCACACCAGACCTCCCACCCCACACGCCAGAGCCTGGCTCCACACCCTGAACTCCCATCCCGCAGTGGTCCCGCTGCCCTACACAACAGGCCCCTGCCCCACATGCTGAACCTCTGCACCACCCCACACCCCGGGCTCTCTCTCTGTGTGCCATCCCATGCACCAGACTGCCCGCCCCATGTGCCAGACCCCCAGCCCCTGTGTCCTGGACCCTCACCCCATGTATCCTGGACCCCCACCCCTGTATCCTGGACCCCCAGCCCTGTATCCTGGACCCCCACCCCGTGTATCCGGGACCCCCATCCCACATGCCGGTGGCCAGGGTTGGGGTTCCAGGGTGGGGGTTTGGGGATGCCCCCTGCTCACCCACCCTGGCAGGTTCGAGGGCACCATCGCGGCGCAGTTCTTCGGCCACACGCACCTGGACGAGTTTGAGCTGTTCTATGATGAGGAGACGCTGTCACGTCCCGTGTCCATCGCCTTCGTCGCACCGAGTGTCACCACCTACATCAACCTCAACCCCGGTGCGCCGCGAGCCCCCGCCATGTGTCCCCCACTGTGTGTCCCCCGCCATGTGTACCCCACTGTGTCTCCCCTGCCGTGTGTCCCCCACTGCGTGGCCCCTGCCGTGTGTCCCCCGCTCCCCGGCGCTGACCGTCCCTCTCCCTGCAGGGTACCGCGTGTACGAGGTGGCCGCCTCCTACCCCGGGAGCTCCCACGCGGTGCTGGACCACGAGACCTTCATCCTCAACCTGACGGAGGCCAACGCGGCGCCCCCGGGCGCGGCCCCGCGCTGGCGGCGGCTCTACGGCGCCCGCGAGGCCTACGGGCTGCCCGCCGCCTTCCCGGCCGACTGGGACCGGCTGGTGCGGCGAATGCAGGACGACGAGCCGCTCTTCCAGCGCTTCTGGTTCCACCTGCACAAGGGGCACCCGCCCCGCGAGCCCTGCGGCGCGCCCTGCAAGGCCGCCCTGCTCTGCGCCCTGCGCTCCGGCCGCGCCGCCGACCCCGCGCTCTGCCGGCCCCTGCGCCCCGCGCTGCCCTTCCCGCACATCCAGCGGCTCTGGCAG